GATGGTGACGTTTTCCATTGGGAAATATGAGGATGAGGTGCTTTGTGACATGGTACCTATGCATGCATGTCACGTCCTATTGGGAAGGCCATGGCAGTACGGTCGGCGAGTCACAGGTGACGGTTTCACCAATAGGTACTATTTTACCATTAAAAGGCAACCCATATCCTTTGTCCAATTGACTCCCAAACAGGTTCTTGAAGGCCAACTAAAGATGCAAAAAGTAAAGAAAAAGAGAGAGGAAAAAGAGAAAGAGGCCGAAAAAGAGAGAAGAGAAAAGGAGATTAAGAGAGCTTTACTTTCACAGCAGCCCCTTATAGTACTCATGTACAAGGAGGCCCTTTTAAATCCTAACGATCTTGCCGGTTCTTGCCGAGCAACGTTTTTTCTCTCTTGCAGGATTTCGGGGATCTAATTCCCGAAGAGATGCCTTCTAGTTTACCTCCAATTCGGGGAATTGAACATCAAATTGACTTCATATCCGGCGCATCAATTCCAAACCGGCCTGCCTATAGGAGTAATCCCGAGCAAAGACGTTCAAAACTTCTTCCAAGAGGTGACGATTTGAGGACAAATCCTTTTCAAAAGGGAGAGAATGATGCGATAGGTGGAGCACAAGGACTAGCGCAACATTCAAGAGATCCATTGAACGAGCTGGTTCAACAAGTTGGAGACATGGCAAACACATGGAAGCCCAACACAAGCCCAAAGCCGAATGAAGAAAACCTAGTCACCATGATTAAGGTTCTAGAAGATTCAAGTGGAATTACAAAGGGCTTAATAAGGGGAGTCCAATTCAAGTTGGCTGCATTGGGCCTAGGGGAATATTTGTGGCCGAATTGGCCTTGGAATTGTATAGGGTCCGAATTGGACTTGGACTAGATAGCCGAGTTTGGACTTTAGCTTAGGTAATTAGATGTTTTAGTTTTCTTTAGTGTTAAAATCACATCCTTTATAAATAGGGATGTTAAACTCATTTTTGGGATGAATTATTGAATAATCATATTGAGGTTTTGCATATTTTGTGCTTCTTAGTTCTTGAGAGAACTTTTTTAACTTATCAAGTATTTTTCTTGTGGCGTTCAACAATCGAACTTATCATTAAGATTAACGGGGATTCTTGATAATCTTGGTGTAGCATTCTTCATCTTTCGTAGTTCTTGATTTGCGTCTTGATAGACAACGGGTTAAGGCTCAACAATCTTGCGTCTTGAAGATCTCAGAGTTGTGATCCGCGTTTGGTGTTGGGTCTCGTCGCGTCGTTGGCGAGGTTGCACCCCCGGGACACCCCCGGGGCACCCCAGATGTGTGGCATGGGCAGCTCGGCCATCCTTCTTTAAAATAACTAAGGTTTTGGTCAACTTAGGATTATTATATTTGTCTTCTACTTCAAGGTTTTTTTTTTTTTTTTTTTTTTTTTTTTTTTTTTTTGTGAATCTTGCTTATGTAATAAAAGCCAACGTTTTCCGTTCGGCAAGTCAATTTTAGAAAGTCATGGACCTTTTAATTTAGTTTACACTGATGTTTGGGGGCCTTCTCCTATTAAATCATTTGATGGTTTTCAATAGTATGTTATTTTTGTTGATCACTACACTAAATATATTTGGCTCTATCCTTTGCATTTATAATCTAACAGTTTTAATATTTTTCGTCAATTTAAGACTGTCGTTGAATTTTTTTTAATAAACCAATAGTGTCCATGTATACAGATGGTGGTGGAGAGTATATTGCGCTAAAAGATTTTTTTATCTACATTGGGCATTCAACATCTAAAAACACCACCACACACCTTACAACACAATGGAACAGCCGAGCGGCGTCACAAGCATATAGTTGACACTTGTTTAACTCTTTCATAAAGCAAAAATTCCTCAAAACTTTTGGTCTTATGCTTTTCAAACTGCTGTTTATCTAATTAATCGACTTCCAACCCCAAATCTTAATTTTTCCTCTCCATATGAAAATTTATTTCTTAAAAAGCCAAACTACAACAAACTCAAAGTTTTTGGTTGTCTCTGCTTTCCATGGTTAAAAACTTATACCTCTCATAAGTTAGAATCAATATCCTCTCCTTGTATTTTTCTTGGATACTCACTAAATCAAAGTGCTTATTTTTGCATGGACTTAACTTCTAATAAGATTTAGACCTCACGTCATGTTCACTTTATTGAAACTGAATTTCCATATGCTAAGCAAACATTATCTCCCACTGATTCCAAAGATTGGTTTTCATTCTCACCTTCTATCACACAAGCATCTCTTTTCTCTATTGCAAAATCACCGAGCTCGCCTCATATGCCTTACTCTGAGACTGCATTACTTGAAAATGCTCCAACGGCTTCTTCATCTAGCTCTCTAACTCGGTCATCATTAACTCAGCCAACTTCTAATGCGGGGTCAGGTAGTCCTTGCTCTCATCCTAATTCTCAATCTAATCTTCCTATTATTTCATCTACTAATTTTATTCATGCAGCATCCTCACCAAACACTTCCCACTCATCATCACCAATCTCTACCTGATCACACCTTTTTCTACTCCCAAAGCCACCAAGTCACTAATGCCCTCACATCACATGATGTCACGATCCAAAAACCATATTCACAAACCCAAAACTCTATCAAGCCACCACTAAGCATAGAGATCACTAATTCGTCTTTAACCTCGATTTTTTTGAAAATGAAAATGAAAAGGAAAAATAGCTTTAAACCATTTTCTTGTTCTTTAACAAAAACCATTCTCATTATTTTTTTTTGTTATCTTTCTCACTTTCAAAGTATTTGTTAATTAAATGCAGGTTTACATGTTTCTTTGTTTTTTTGCTTCAAAAGACGTGCAGAAACATTTTAAAAAATAACTGAAAATAATTCTAGACGATACTAAAGTGATTATCTTATGAAAATAGTTAGAGATAGTTTTAGAATAATAAAGGTGTGTAAAAACTAAATTATATCATTGTAAAGGTCAAATTCTGCAATTAAATCTGTTTAGAGGGTTGATGGCCACTCTCAGTATCAATCGCGATTGGTGAATAGATTGGAGTTGATTTGAGTCAATAAACACATAGCTTTATTATGGTTCACATTAAATGTAAAGGCTACACCTACTATAGGGTCTCAGAATTCCATTGTATCTTGTAAAAAATACAATTACAATGGTGAATAAGAATAGGAGAAAAAAGGAGGGGATTTAGAGAGAGAATCTAGAGAGAGAAGGAGAGAATACGAAAAACACGAGATATGAGACCTGTATGCATGTCTAATTCGTGATCTTAGCCCCCTATTATAGGAGATGATCTCTAATTTCGCTTTTTCTTGAGCTGATGTGCTGTTGATTAGAGAATGGGTAGTTCCTCTTTCTTCAGTTGACTTTCTCATTGCTTGTTTCCTAATTTGTTTCATGGTAGCTTTCCTCTTCAATGTTGATCTGATTCGTGTCGTTATCAGATTTGGCTGGATTGAACTTCGTGGCCTCTAAAAAACCTTCTTTCCTAAAATATCTGCAGTGGTGCCTACGGGTCTACTGCTATCGTTCTTCTTCATTTCATGTTGTCTCTTGATTCGATTCTTCGGCCAATCAATTTTAGTGAACCTGTTACTTCAAATGCTATCCAAGTGTACGGTTGTGATCATGGTGCTGATTTTACCGTTACTAATCATTTAAAATTATATGGGATGTGTGGTCAAAAGAAAGATGTGGAGAATAAAATAAAAGTGTAAATAGAATCTGAAAAAAAAAATTTATGCATACTCTTTTGTTGTTGAATAAGTTGTTTTATGGTCAGTTCCTTATTAATAATGTGAGTTTTTAAAAAACCATTAAATCTGATTAAGATGATATCATGCTGAAACAATATATAATATAAAAATTGTAAAATTAGAGACATTATAACATGAGATATTTGTTTTTAGTATAATTTTTCTCTTTAATTATCTAACATATAATCTAATCTATCTATCTAACATACATAAAAGAGTTAAAAGATGTTGCTTCTTCTTTTGCTACAGGTGAAGCTCTCATTTCTCTCCTTTATTTTTATTTTTTACATTTTTTATTTCTAATTTGCTTTTTATTTCTTTTTTGTTTATTTTTAATTTTTCTTATTTCTATTCTTCTTTTGTTTTTTTAATGTTTTTATATATTTTACCAAGTGCTCTTTTGTAATTTAATCTTTTTACGGAATACTTTCACATTTTTTTTCTCACTTTACTATATTTAAAACAATTCATTTTAGATGTACCATATAAATAAGTTACTATGTTATTTTTTTCTTTTCAAATGTGCTTTACTAAACTTTTTTTCTTTTTTACTAAACTCAATTATTAAATGAGTAATAAATAAACACAACTAATACTAGAAAAATTTTAGATTTTCATATAAAAAATGAAAATTTTCATTTTAGTATCCTGTATTATATCAAAATATGAGTTTGATACAATTTATTTTTAATAATTTCATACTGATATTTTGACCTTTTAAAAAATCTTCTTTCAATATTTTAGAACAGTTTTTTAAAATACTAAAGGACAAAATTACTTTTATTATTAAATATATGTATAAACTTTTTAAAAATCTTAAACCTGTAATCAAGATTTTTATTTTATGTTTAAGACACAGTGAAGTTTGAGTGTTTCGTTGTAGATTTAAGAACTTTTTTTAAAAAAAGTTTTTGACATATTTAATAATAAAGGCATTTTTGTCTTCTTACGTATCAAAAAAATTGCCTCAAAATACTAAACGATAATTTTCTAAAATATCAAAATATTAACATGAAATTATTAAAAATAAAAAATATTAAATTTATATTTTAATATAACACAACGTATTAAAATGAAATTCTCTCTATAAAAATTATGATGAATGCACGTGCGCGTACTTATTTATTTTTGGTAACTAGTTACCCAAAAAAGGAAACTAAAAAATGGAAAGAACAAACGGGGCAAATCAATCTTGACGAAAATTAAGACAAATCTTCTCTCTCTCCACTTTTGATTCGGCTAAATCGCAAAGCGCTCTCTCTCACGTTTCTCTTCTCTCTTCCTCTCGCGCTCTCCCTCAATAGAGCGTTCAGCTACAAACGAGAGGAGGAAAGGAAGAAACAGAAAGAAAGCAAATCGTAAATATTTTTATATGAAATTAGAAAGATAGATACGTCTTCACACGTCGAGACATCGAAATAATACTTATTTAATTATTAATCATAAAAAAAGAGAAGAAAAAAACAAAAGTACGAATTGGAAGGTCAGAAGCCTCGGACGAACCAAGAGCATCCAAAACCAGAACCTTCATTACGCGACGTCGTTTTGATCGGAGCTCTTTCTCCCTCTTTCTCTCCTTCCTCCGTCGATCGAGTTCTTCAGGAATCGGATTCAACCAAAGCCCAGATTTTTAAGCGATTTTGATTTCCCCTTTTTGTTAGGGTTAGGGTTTTCGCGATGATCGCTGTCTCTTGATTTTTCTCAAACGGAGGTTCGGTTTCGAAGGTTTGATTCTATAATTCTCTCTCTCTCTCTCTCTCTCTCTCTCTCTCTCTCTCTCTCTCTCTCTCTCTCTCTCTCTCTCTCTCTCTCTCTCTCTCTCTCTCTCTCTCTCTCTCTCTCTCTCTCTCTCTCTCTCTCTCTCTCTCTCTCTCTCTCTCTCCATAATCTTGAATTTTTCCAATTTTTCCGGTAATTATTGTGTTTTTTTTTATGTAAATGGTTAGGGTTAGGGCAATCCGAGGAATGGAATCGCCCGGTGGTAATTCCGAGGTTCGGTGTCGAGGTTGTGTTTCTATATTTCTCTCTCTCTCTCTCTCTCTCTCTCTCTCTCTCTCTCTCTCTCCATAATCTTGAATTTTTCCAATTTTTCCGGTAATTATTGTGTTTTTTTTTATGTAAATGGTTAGGGTTAGGGCAATCCGAGGAATGGAATCGCCCGGTGGTAATTCCGAGGCGTACAGGAGTCCTTCTTCGTCTTCTAATTCTTCATCGAGCAGTAGTGGTGGTAGTAGTGGTTCCAGAAGATTCGGATTGCTATCTGCTTCCAACGTATTCCAGGCGCCTCTCTCCGCGTTGTTGGAATACTCGGGAATTCTCCGCGGCGGCGGCCGTTCGAATCATCAGGAGACCGAGGGATTGATCAGCGGACGCGTCTTGGGTTTCAGGGACCATCTCAACGAGCCCGCGGCGGCTTCCGGCAATGATGGGGAGGTTTCGATCAGGATAATTGGGGCGACAGAGCAGGAGCATGATAGGGAAGGGACTGGCTTGGTTGTTGGGCAGGCGAGGGAAGCTGCCACCTCGTCGAATGACGTCGTTGCTCCTCATTCTGTGGCGGCTGAGTTGGCGCCGGACGCTCTGGGGGATTCTCGGGCTGACCGGGGCATCGGAGAGGGAATTTCACAGTCGTTGAATGGGAATGGAGATGGAGGGGATGGAGGAGGAGGAGGAGGTGGTGGTAGTGGTAATGGCAGGGATTCGTCTTACCAGAGATACGACATTCAGCAGGCTGCTAGGTGGATTGAGCAGGTTCTGCCCTTTTCTTTGCTTCTGTTGGTGGTCTTTATCCGGCAGCATTTGCAAGGTATTCTTCTTTTTGAAAAGTCTGTAATTTCCTTATTATGCTCTGTTATTGCAGATTTTAAAATTATTATGATGATTGTGGGGTTAATTCTTAAGATTTGCCTGGCCTTAGAGAAGAGGCGTGCATCGTGGCATCCATGTTTAAAACTACCATTATGCTTAATTCTCAAGAAGTTTGACTATAAGTCTATAAGCTGTTTCTGGTGGTTAGAGATTTACGTGATCTTTTTTTTTTTATTCTTAAACTAAAAGTTTTGGCTATTTAGGCTCCAGTCATGGGGATTTTCTTCCCTCTGTATACCCTTCTTAAGTGATCGTGTGTTTAGTACGTGGAATTCCATAACTTGTTAAGGGAAAGTTCAGTTTCTTTCTGTTATTCTACATTGCTAGCTGTTGGTACTAAATTATCAAAACTTGAGAGGTTAAGAACCAAAGTATATATCTAAGGAAGTTTACAAGGCATTGCTAATTCTCTTTCTATATCTATTTTCTCCCTTTTATGCATAAATATAATTTCTTTTAAATTAATGTCTTTCCATTTTTGTGCAATGACTTCTTAGGTTTCTTTGTCACAATATGGATTGCTGCTGTTATGTTCAAGTCGAACGATATTGTAAGAAAACAGACGGCTTTAAAGGTATCAGTCCGTGCTTATAGTTCTCTTTTATTTTCTCCGTTTTTCAGTTTGATGATTGTTTGTCAAGCTTAAAATTATTTGTGACTGCAGGGAGAGAGGAAAGTGTCTGTTCTTATTGGCATCTGTCTTGCATTCACGGTTCATGTTGTTGGTGTTTACTGGTGGTATCAAAATGACGATCTTTTGTACCCATTAGTGATGCTTCCTCCCAAAGTAATACCACCTTTCTGGCATGCTGTTTTCATCATCATGGTGAATGGTATGTTCTTTAATGTTTTATTCTTTTTGATAAGAGGATAAGAACATACCATTCATTCATGGTGAGCGGTTTGTTCTTATCCTAAGTTCTCACTGTTGCTATACTTATGAGTTCGCAAATGTTGTACTTTCTTCCAGCGAAGAACCCCTGTTTGTTATTTTCCTAATATAGATGAAATAGATTACTTATTAAGAAATGTCCTTATAGAACAAAATGAAAATATGGTTTCAAGAAATTAGAATCATAATAATTAAAGAGAAAGGTAAGCGTCAACTCTGTAGAAGATGAACGAGACTCCAAAACATAATTGCTCTCCAAAAGTTATCATCCATTAAACAGTGCCTTTTGAGCCAAAAACCAAGAAAATGTGTAGAACTCTGAATTTTCAGCAGACAAATTATTTTGTCCTGGTTAATACTCTTTACGTATAGGAATGCACAATTTTGATGAGCAATTACCCTTATGTCGGAATTGATGTGGTGTTATCTTTCTTCAAATGAATCCTTTCCCTGTTCAGGATACATATAAGAAATTGTCAAGATCTTGGCAATTAATATGAATTCTTAAGTTCCTTTTTTGTTACTTCTATTTATTCAAGATTGCATATTTGGTCTAATGATATGACCTACTTGAGTTCTGCATTATTTATTATCAACTGTTGAGATAGTTGAGGCGTGGAAATTTATTTATTATCCAGTGCTTTGCCAGCCAGGCATCTCCCATTTGTGTATGATTTTGTAGGGGTGTCTACTTTGACGAGTTGTGCACCTACGTAAATATACAATGAATGTATTTATAAGGATAAAGAAGTTGTCTTATCAGTCTAAATATTGGCTAGGATGTCGTTACTTTGAAGAGACCAATAGAGATAAAATGTTAGTTAACGTATTTCAAGATCTCGCCGATATGACGATGCTATGCTTGAGATTTTGTCAGTTTACCCGTTTTTTCTTTCCGCTGTTTGTCATTTCATTCTCCCATTTGGGTTTGCAGCATTTTTCTGATATTTTGGCCCCGTGTCACCCCTTTAAAGCGGATGCTGTGGGTAGACTCTAGACTAGAAAAGGACATGAGAGGACAGTTAGAGTGTCTGCTGTGTACAATTAGGTTTGTGAGAGAGAGGGGGCTTTCTTTTACCCCCTCGGAAATAGAGAAAGATGTGTCAGATCTTGGTTGGCCGTTGGTGGTTTAACCCTTGGTTGAGGGAAGCAAGCCAGCTTAGGATGTGAGTGGCATTAGACCAAATTGCAGCTTAGGAAATCTAGAATTAGCTTAAGGTGTGCTTTATATAGCTCATGGTGCTTCTTCTTCTTCTTCTTAAATAAATAAACAGACAGAGAACTTTATGAAAGAACTACTGAAGTTGAAAGGAGAACAAGAAGTCCTACAAAAAATGTTACATTATTGATCTTCAAGCTCTATTTATCATTCTGCTGTACCTTAGATATAATCTAATAAATAATAAACTGATAAGGTATTTTTAACAGATAAATGTAATTTTATAAGTAGAAATTATGTAATCTACCAATTATATGATTCCTTGTATTCCCCTAAAACTATATAGCTAATAGTACAATTGGTTTCCTCAAGCCAAGAAAGAAAATGAGAATGCAAGGAATGACAAAAATAAGTTTCTCGTTTACCAATTAGTATGAAGCAGCATATCCTTTAACTGAACTTGACTAGTATTATTGATAGACGACTTGTTTTAAGTTGCTTTCAATTGAGAGGTTAGCTTATAATTTTATCTTCCTTGTTACTCATACTTTTTTTTTTTGGGTGATTTATCTGAAAGGGGAATGTTTTTGGTGCAGTTTTTATTATTGTTTTAATATTTAGTGGAATTCTGTTCAAAAGTTTCTATGTTTGATAAATTAAATACCCATAACATTTGATTGTTTGCCAGTTTTTACGCATATTATATTTGATGTGGATATTTCTATTGATATTCCCATAAATCCATGTCATTTTTTGTCATTCTTATATGAATATATATGTTGTTTCAGTACCTTGCAATAGTTTCTTAGAAATCATTTCTTTCAGATACCCTGGTTCGGCAGGCAGCAATGGTTTTCAAGTGTCTTTTATTGATATATTACAAAAACAGCAGGGGCCGAAATTATCGTAAGCAGGTGAGATAACAGAAAATATCTAATGTTGATGTAAATTTTGGGGAGGAAGAGATGTAGGCTAAGTCTTTGAGTAGGTGAAAGAATCGTCCACTGACCGGTCTTAATTATCTTATTACTTTTCTCAAAACAGAGAGTATCATTCATATTTTTGTGTCTATGAATGTTGTGTGCCCTTATTTCTGACTGTAGGAAATACCTACTTTTTCCAGGGTCAAATGCTAACTTTGATCGAGTATCTGCTGCTTCTTTACCGTGCCTTATTGCCAACACCGGTCTGGTACCGTTTCTTCTTGAATAAAGAATATGGAAGCCTCTTTTCATCACTAATGACAGGATTGTATTTAACTTTCAAGCTCACGTCTGTTGTTGAAAAGGTAAGGTTTCCTTGCTAAATTGCTAATATAGATTTCCATGTTTCCAATATCTTTCTACTTCTCCCTCATCAAGATTGGGTTCTGGTAAGAGTGGTGTTCTTACACAGCGTGTACTTTTCTTTTCCCTCTCCATTCCTTTCTTGGGATATTGTCAGGTGCAATCCTTCTTTGCTGCACTGAAAGCTTTATCGCGTAAAGAAGTGCACTATGGAGCATATGCAACATCTGAACAGGTAAGTGGACTTAGTTTTCGATAGATTTTGCTAAGAAATTTGCCATGGCCTGTACACACACACACGTGTGTGCAAGATCATCATTTATGAACCTTGCAATAAAAGAACAATATCATACCTTCTATACTAATTTTTCTGTTTAGAACTTGTCAAACTTCTAATTACCGTCTAGATGGTTTAAAGGGTTTTCCTCCATATTTTCCTAGTTTTAAGCGAGTTCGTTGAGGTTAAGAAATTCATTGTTGAGAGATTGTGAGCTTTCCCAATCTTCTTTTTAAAATTTTGGGCTAAAATATAAAATAGCTACTTTTAATATCCTTCTGTGCTGCCTGGGCTTCCGTGTGCTACAGTATGTGTATTTGCCTTATTTCTTTTGAAGTTTTTTTATAGGGACATTTTTTCAGTCAATGCAGTTTTAACCTGTTAGTTGTTGAAAACAGGTGAATGCAGCTGGTGATCTATGTGCTATATGCCAAGAGAAGATGCATGTTCCTATCCTACTTCGCTGCAAGCACATCTTTTGTGAGGACTGTGTATCAGAATGGTAAGTTTACTGTTGTTATCTAGATGACGTTCTCTATTCTTGGAAAACTGTTTCTGCAATTACCTTTAGTTGCACTTTCTGCCTATTACATAATTACATTGAAGTGCTTGCAAAAAACGGTCCATCTTCTTCACTGTAAATATCCTGTTAGTAGTTCATAGTTCTTATTACCTTGAATTGTTTTTGTGTGGTTATTTTGAGGTTTACATCTCAAAACTCAAGCACTTATGGCTCGCCTCACAAAGACAAAATTCGTCGGAGTCCAAATATGTTGTCCCCATTTTGCTGTTTTCTCACTTAAATATTGACACCATTAAAATTTTACGTGGAAGTATTTTTATTATTCATTTTGGCAAGCAGGGGCTGCGATGGATTCGTCGTCCCTTTTTTTTAAAGAAAAAATGTGTTGGACATTTTTTAAAAGGTTACGGCACTTCTTTTGATGTCGGACCAAGATAGAAGAGTTAGAATCTAAATAGAAAAGACATAATCAAAAAGAGAATAGAAGAGTTAGAATCTAAACAGAAAAGACATAATCAAACAGAGAGGGAAAACCAATAGAGAGAGAGAGAGAGAGAGAGAGAGAGAGAGAGAGAGAGAGAGCCGGAGAAGAGAATGTAGAAGATTTAAAGAGAAACAAGAACACAAGAAGGAAGTAGAAATCTCAATATTATTAATGAACCAAAGACACTCTCCAACTTAATTACAATTACTATGATTTTTATATTTTATGGCAATCTAAAACTAATAATAAGTTGAGTTAAATAATTATTGTGAATATTCCAAATAATCCTAAGAGGGACAACATAATCTCAAATAAATCTTAGAAGATAAAATAATCCTAAGAGATACAACATAATGTCGAATTAACTTAAAGTTCAAAATAAAATATTGAAGTTAACTAAATCATAAACATTAGTTTACATTCAAAAATAAATATTAAAATCAACTAAATCCTAAAATCCTAATCTTGTTTCGCATCACCTTTGATATTACCCTTTTTCCTGCAAATGCAATCATGGCCGTTCCTTGTTTTCCATGTTTTGTTTGCTATTGTGGTTTTGTTTTTGAGTTTTTGACTGATTGATGGACATATTTTCTCAGGTTCGAGAGGGAACGGACCTGTCCTTTGTGCAGGGCTTTGGTCAAACCTGCAGATCTTAGATCATTTGGCGATGGGTCAACTAGTCTATTTCTTCAGTTGTTTTGAAAAGCTTATTGTCAAACCAGGGAGTTTTTCTGCTTTGAAGCTTGGAATTCTCAAAGCAGCCTTCTTCCATTCTTACAAATGCACAGGTAAATTTGATTGTATTGCCTTGTTCACGGGTTTCCCTTGCAAAGTAATTTAAACTGGTTGCATAGAGTTAACTGGCTATTGTTCATATGGTTGTGTCGAAGAAGTTAAAAGTGTAAAGTAATGGCTTATTTACCGACTGAGGAATCACCTCTCCAGGACTAACGTATCACTGTTCATTTGCTGTGGAATGAAAGTTTCCCCTGCCTTTTTTTTAAAAAAATTTTTATTTATTTTTCATTTTTTTAATGGTTGTCTTTCTAAGTGGACTACACATTTGCGAGTTCTCTTTTTCTTGAATGGACTAAAATTTTGGTTTTTGGTTTAAACTTGGTTGTTACTTTAAATGTTCGAATGTTATTGTTTGACCCATAGAAGAGGCAAGAATATGAATATTTAAAATCAGTTATGTGATGTTCGCTATTTAAGATTCATTATTTAACACGGTGAGGCAATAAAAACTCGGGACAATCTGAATTCATTCTATAATGACCATGAAATGAGAGAACTAATACTCTAGTTTGCTTGTCTAGGGAATGACTATACTGCACTCGACATAATGGAACATCAAAACCCGTCAAGATACTTTCCTTACCTAAGTAGCAGAATTCAGCAAGTTAGAATGAAATTAAAAAAAAAAAAAAAAAAAAAAAGGCATTAGACTTTTTTCTTTTGTTGTAATCTTCTATGATTGTGGTGCTTGCTTTTGGATGTAAGTATGTACGTGGTGTATGCTTATATTTATTAGTGAGGGATTTGGTCGGGAAGAGTATTTGGCTGTTTAATCAATGTGTCTAAACCATCCTTCGAAGATAAGTGTCCCAGAGACATTTTTAAGGTGAATATGGGATCTTGGTTATAATTTCATTGTTAACTTATTCCCTCGCTTGCCCTAGTGAAAAAGAATTTGCTGCCTATAAGGTTTATTAAGGCCAGCCACATTGAATGAATTGTGGAAATGTATACATGTTTGTTTTTTTTTTTTTTTAATCCTCGGTCTTCCAACTTTATCTCAAATTTTATTTTGGTCTCTGATGTTTAAAACACTGCAAAATTGATCCTGATCAATCTTATGTGGCAAAGTTACTCGTTCCGGTACATTTGTTCATAATCTAGATAAATGGAGGTTGTCTGAGGTTAAAATTGATATTTCATTGTCTTTTGGGGGTAGGACTAACCGATTGAAGAAGGGTTTGATATGGTGTTCAGACTCCATACTTTGTATAGTGTGTTCTTGGTATATCCCGTTCGATTTTGTCTAGAAATATGGTTTGTTATAATGTCTCATACGTATCCAAGAGCATTTACAACCTACTTCAATTATCCAACTGACACAGCACGATTGTGCTTTTAGTTAACTGACAGACTTGTCTTACTAAGATTAAGATAGATCAAGCTTAGTTTTGGGATGTTTAATAATTTGAGGCATATTCCAATTCCGTTGATATTATCCTTTTTATTCACTATTTACTAAAATGGAAAAGTAAATAGGGAGGTTTGTGATCACCGTTCATTCAATTTGATTGGATAATGTAGAATCCTTGCGTAATGACAAATTTGTTCATTTCAATTGTGGATTTTTTAACCATTTTGTCCCTAGTCCTCGTATCTTGTCTCTTCGGGATAGCCCCTTTGTGGAAGCAAGGAAATAAACTGAAAAGAAAATATGAAGAAAAAATTGATAATTTATCATTGAGTGTGAATTTGAATTTTTATCTCTTATTTTTTATAAATACCTTTTTATTAGTGTAATTATTTGACTAAAAAGGTTATGAATCAATAGTAAAAGGTAAAAATTTTGATCCATACACTTTTAAGTAGTATTTGTCAAGAATACCTAAATATGAACAATACATGGGTCAATGGGAAGTTGTAATGAATATATAACCATTAATCATTTACGTTTAAGTGGATGGTTAACGAAAGAAGTGGTGCTAACTAGAATCACATCCTTTTACAATCAAAATTAGTGGATGGAACATGTGGGTGCTGAAAGTTGTGACATTTAGGGCCTGTTTGGCATTGCTCTTAGAGGTTTTTTTTTTATTTTTTTTATTTTTTTTTTATTTTTAAGAGCTACGACATATCAGAAGTGTTTGATAAATCCTGCTTTTATCCAACAGCTTCTAAAAACTGCTATCAAACAATAATATTTGAGAAGCATGTCGGGGTTGTTTTTGCATAACAGTTTCTGCATGACTGCACCTAAATAATAAAATTTAATTATCAATATATCTATTTACTTTTTCCCTATCAAATTAAAAAATATATGTTTTTAAAATAGTTATTTAAAAATTGAAAATCATTTCAGTATGCTATGTTAAATTTCATTCAAATATTTTAAATAATTATCAAAATATTTAAAAATAACAATAATAAATATTAGTATAAGAATAATTTCTCCTTGAATGAAAGTAATTTATTTTTAAGAACTATTTTAATTAATAAAATTTAAAATATATTTTTGTATATTATGAATATTGACCATCAAAAAAATAAAGCTAACTATAAATATGAAGTTTGTCAATTTTTGTCATTATACATTTCAACCGTAATTTTATAAATAATTTATCAAATATTTAAATTTCTACTTCTGATACTCACAACAACTTTGTAATACCAAACGTCTATATATTTCTCGTCACAGTAATTTATTACTAACAACACAGCAACAGTAAAAAATTTTAATGAAATAGCAATGCTAAACTGACCATTAGCACAAACAATAAAATATTATATTATAACACTCATTCCCATTGAGTGTGAGGGCAATGTATACTTTTCTTGATTTTAATCTTGAAATTTTGGCTCTTTGATTTGCTAAATTTGTTTAACCCCATTTCCCCAACCTCGGAGTGTTAGATGAGACCGAGGATCAAAAATCATGTGGGTAACAGTAGGCGATAACTTTTGTAGATTTTGACCCTAACAAGGAAATATTAAACATTTTATCGAGGTATTTTTAACAATATCAGAACTAAGAATAGGAATCAATATGATTACTAAAATATCCTTGTTTGGGTTTTCTTCCTACTGGTATTTTGACAATAAAAATAGAGGTTATCCGTATAATTAGGAAAATGATTCCAACCTTTCCAATCGTAATCTTATGATTCTTATCCCCATATTTTCTTTTTCTTTTGAGCATAATATTATCCCCGTATTCAATTCCTAAATTTTATCGGCCCGCCCCATATGCACTTAATTTGTTGAAAAGTACAAGTAAAGAAGAGAGCAACAAGAAAAGAGCAGGTCTTCGAGTATTCTGATTTTTCACAAGTGCCAGTGGCTTAAGCTTTGTCTATTTAAAGAGAAAATCAACAAACTCAAATAATTCTATTCATTTCACTCCGCTTGGAAATCGGCCACTGAATCTGAATGTACAAGACATAAACAAACATTTGCTTCTGGACCAAGTTACAAAGAACAATAAACAAGAAGAACAAAACCCTGATAAGATGAAGTTACATAAATAAAAAAATCAATGACTATATGCAGGCCAAGACATACACATCTTTTGTGTCCTCCCCAAATGCAGAAAAAATAAGAGGAAAAAAAAAAATGAACGAATGCTGCACAAATCTTTGGACGACAACCAAAAAAGAAAACATGATTTACTTGAAGCTTAATTAAGAGGGTCTCTTGGTATCTTCTTCTTCTGGAACTAATTGGTCCAAAGTTGCGTGGACATCTCCGGAGAACTCCTTGTTGTCTTGTGGTTCACTGTAGACGGGGAAGATTTCCTTATCCTCTGTGGGGCTTTCAGATGGACACTCTTCGGAAGGCGAGCAGAAAGATGTAGATGATCTCGGGGAAACATAGAGCATTCTGGACATCCCAGGGCTGGTTAGGGGGTAAACTTCTGTAACTTCTTCAGTACCCTCATCTAGATACACAACATCCTGCATTGTAAGCTGGTGATATTCAACAATTTCCCTTAGGAAGCGATTCTCGCGTGCGTATATGGAATTTTCGTTCGCTAAACGAGCTTTCTCAGCCAATAGTGTCTCCAGTTGAAGGCGGATCTGAAAAAACAAACACAAAGCCAGTACTTAAAAAGGAAACTACACGCACGCACTTGAGAGTATCCACGAGAATTCATGGACAAGGTAATTGCTCAGGTTTACAACTGACAGATTATCTGTAAACGCAATAGGAAAAAATTGGGCTTTGTTGATCTTGCTTATATCTGAAGAACAAGAAAGATACCATTTGAGAAAAAGATGATCATACCAAGTCATCATCTTCACGATGGTCGCCTTTGTCGCGATTCTCCCTAAGGATTTTATTTTCTTCTTCCAGTTGGGAACACCGTTCCTTTGCAAAAGCTAGATCTGCCTTGACGGTTTTCAGTTCCCGAAGTAGCAATTTTGCTTTGGCAGCTGTTGCCATTGCAACCTGAAACCAGAAAAAAGATCACACAGTGCATCTTGCTGGATACGGAGATCTAAGATAGCGCCAAAATAAACATTAGGATTCATATGAAAACCACATTATCAATATTAAGCTTGAAATTTCTAGTCTCTTGTGTTATTGTTATATAATGCAAGTCTCAAGAGCACCATAAAAGAGCTATAAACATAGCAAACTGATATCTCCCTTTTAATAATTTACATATCCTTTTTAAATTTCATTCACCTCTCCATTTGAATGAAATGTACTGAAATTTGTCCTGATTGGACAATCAGTTGCAGAATAACCCTGTTATACCTTCCCTGCTGAGTGACTGAGGTCATTTAATAAGCTCAGTCGGATTATATTTACTTTGATAACATGACCAGACACACAATAACAAAGTTGCCACCTTACGTCGCGAGATGCCTTGAGTTGAGTTTCATGGTTGGTTTGTATCTGAGGCTGCTGTGTTGGTTGAATCTGAGGTTGCTGCCACGAATTGTTTGCATAGTTAGAAGCTTGATATTGCGATTCCAAATTGTTTCCTTGTCGCTTAATTTGGAGTCTGCGAGTTTCTTGGATTATATCTGCAGTCTTGTTCTCCACAATCGTACGACCTTCCTGGAGAGCATAAATTTGATTCAAAATAATAGAATTTAGTTTTCCTGGCCTAATGGGAAGCGAGAACGTCTATATGATCAATTAGAAATTCTATGAGCAATGAAGGAACTACATATGATCAATAAGAAATTCAGGAATATATTACGAGGACATAAAGTCAAAAATAGTTGTAAATCCTTTCCATTCTGAATAAATATCATGGTTTTTTGGCCGAAAACCAAAGTAGCGAGTTTTATATTTGAGATCGCAGTGTTCAGAATCAGAAAGAAGCCATAAATACATCAGCCAAGCAAAGTCAAAGCAAATAAGGTCCAAGAAAATTTTAAGTAATGATGATCTCACTAAGCATATAGATATACAAATATCAAGCATGTAAAAGTGAAGAAATGGGTGCAACAATAAAATCAAAAAAAAAAAAATGGTACATTTCCAATATCCATTCTATAAGCAAAGCAACAAGACATTATCTAATAAAATAGTATTAAGATACCTCAAAAGCCTTCTCAAATGTGTCACCGAGGTGATTAAGGGAAGTTGTAATCGCATCCAAGCCCTTGCGGAACTTGTGATTGTCCATTCTCACATTTTCATTTGACTGATGTGATTGGTGCTGAAACTGTGCTCAATAAAGATGGTCAAAAATCAGACAAAGCTAAACAAGAGACATGCAATGATATTACAGAGTGAAAAATTTCTCAATATCAGAGACTAGTTTCCGATCGAGTAAAACTATGTAGATACATACAGATGTAATAATAATCAACATATACGTTTCATACTCATTAAAAAATTCAGCCAAATGACATGATAAAAGGTTGTTCACCTGAGTTTGTACAGAGTTATTGATCAAGTGCGAATTCGTTTTAACAGGCTCATCATCATCGAGCATGGCTTTGGCTTTGCGAGCCAAAACACCCCAAAATCCAGTCTTGGACTCTTCGGCATCCTCGTACGCAACAAATTCCTGCACAATTTTGGACGTCAAAAGAAAGAAAAAAAAAAAACAAACAAACGAAACCGCCATGGACTTGTTAAATATTCATTCTTCCCCGCCAAAATTCATCAGATGATTCAGATCCACAGAAATTTTCCGACAGAAAGCGAATTTTAGGCCCAAGCTAGAAACCGATCTCTAATCCTCAAAATACATACATAATACATATATATATATATGTATATACACACACACACACACACACACACGAGGAAGATGAAAAAAATGAACCTTGGATCGACGGCGATCGAAGGAAAAGGAAGAGGACTCGCGGAGAGCGGAGGAGGCGCGGATGGCTTTCGCGGCGAGAGAAGAAGAAGAAGACAAAGAAGGATCGTCGACGTTGTTGATCGGATAATGAGTTTCCTCCTTGAAAGTTGAAGCCCTGGCGATTCCCTGCCTTCTTCTGTACGCCATTTTTGTTTTCCTCTCTCTCTCTCTCTCTCTCTCTTTCTGTTTGGTTGAGGATTAGCTTCGAAAATGCGACGGACGGACGGACGGCGATGAAAGGAAATGGAGATCTCTTGATCGCCACGACCACCACCTTCGAGCTTTTTTTTTTCTTTTTCTTTTTCCTTTTCTCTCTCTCTCTCTCTCTCTAACTATAACTAACTCTTTCCGTTTGGTATTCTCATGAGATGAAAATAAATATATAAATATAATAAAATAATGGACAAATGAAATAGCGAAGAAAGAGCGCGAGAGCAAATCTCCAAACTGCTATTTCACATTTCTTCACCCCCTCCGCCCTCCTATACAATTGATTTGTATTCTTACAAATAATCCCTGAATTTTATCATCGATCTCATTTTGAGTTCCGATGTTTAAATTATCTCAAAACTTAACCCTCGTCTATGAGCTTGTTTTCGTTTCAGTCTCTTTCATCAATTAAGTATTGAAAAAAAATAACATCTTCTTGGTAGAATATATAATATTCATGTGATTCTGATTTTTAAAAAAAAAAAAAAAAAAAAAAAAACAAACAAACAAACAAAATGTAATACAACTCTCTACTAACTGAATATCATTCATATTTTGTTCTCTTTTTAATATTTAACCGATGAAAAGGATTAAATTGAAAGTGACACTGTATAATTTAAGGAAGAATACCAAAAAGTTGTCTTTTAAATTTTAGTTTTTGGTAAATTATTTTTTAAATTTAATTTCTAAATTTAATAGTGTTATAGAGTACTTTTAAAACCACGTTAAATTTTAGATGAAAATCTTTGTGCATGCTAAATATTTAAGGGATATTCTTTTCACAATAAAATCACAACTCAAAGTATTTTGCTACAGTGTTTTTTTTCATAAAAATTTAAATTCAATTTTTTTATTATAGTATTTTTTTCTCATATAAAATTCACTTTTATGACTTAAGTTCTCAACTCGAATTCACATGCCTTTGTTTGAAACTTCAATCTTCACCCTTTTGCTCACTTACCATGTACAATAAAATAAAACTGTCACCAGTAAATAGGAGAAGGTTGAAAAAAATGATTCGATGTATATTATAAGTTATGAATGGAAATTCGTTTCAATTTTTCAACTCAGAAACATGAATACAACTTTAAAATAAAAAAAAAACGCACACATTTGTTTATTGAGGAAAGTGTTGTATTAATTTGACATAGACGAGGTGGGAAAAAACATTTTGCAAAAAGTTTGAAGGCACGACCACCTTATCATTTTTAATATTTAAATAAATGTCGGTTAATATCTAAACTTGACAACTTCCAACGCAAGCCAAGAGGATTTTTGGGATTGCTTTTGGAGTTTGCTTTTAGATTCTTCTTGAAGAATATAACCTATGCTTGGGAAATTTTTTATTTTTGTTGTCCCGAAGTATAATTTAAGAGAGATATTAGGGATTGTTTTTGAAAAACTACTTCTGCTAGCATTGTGTAAATTTACTAAACTATTCTTAATATTTAAACTGCAAAACTATTTTTAAGGCTTGTTTGTTTCATGAGTTTAAACTCATTGTTTTAATTCTGCTACAATATTTTTCTCTTATAAAAAAATTTAAATTTTAAATGTCAAATCAAGAATCACTGGTTTAAATGCATAAACTAAGTTAAGGCATAATTTTCAATCTATTCAGTTTACTTTTTATTTTCTAACAACTAAAAGCATATTTTTTTAAATGTTTATTTTAAAAAATACAAGTTCTTTAATGAATACACTATAATAATTTTGCTCAAATATTTTGTTAACACTTATTAATATTTGACAAATAGCAACAACATTCGTTATTTATTTTGTTATCGTAATCTTTTCTTAAAATAAAAGTAATTTACTTTTCAGACGTATTTTAGATAATAAAAAAAATAAATACTTTTTAGAATTTTATTATTAAAATTGATTAATGTAGATCTTATCATTTGAAATGAAAACTAAACTATAAGCATGTGATAAAATATTACATTTAATGAAAATAATGTTTATTTTAATTATTATATATTCTCACAATAATTTTTATCTATAGTTTATCAAGCACTTAAAATTCAGCTTTTAATATATATTCACGACAACTTTATAAAGAAAAAAAATTCTACATACTTCTGATCACCGTAACTTTAAACAACATAACAATGCTAAACTGGTCATGTAAATTTTTAAAATACCAAAACTATAGTTTTCTATTGCAACTTATAGTTTTCTATTCACACGTCACACTTGACTTCTAAGATACCCCTATAAATTGGAAAAATATGACATCATTATATATATAAAAGTAACAAAAAAACAGAACTTTTTTTTTCAACCTAACACGCCTTGTCACCCACGATAATCACTCACACACCGATGAGATACATAATTATAAATCTCCAGGTTTTTTTTTTCGGAGTGATCTCTAGATATTTTGGGCTTGTTGGTTGTATTTTAAGTTACGGTAATTTGAGTGTAAATTTTGAGTTGAATTTGAGTTATAATTTGAGTTGAAGTTGTAACTTGAGTTTGTGTTTAGATGTGCATATTTGAGTTATGATTTGAATTAAAAATCTATTTGAGTTTGTGTTTGAGTGGGTCAAAACTTGAATTTGTATTTAGATAGTATTTTAATAAAAACTCAATGGTGATGACAAATTTTAATAGGGTATATGGGTGTGATTTTATTCGTCTCTTCATTGTGAACACATAGAAAAAAAATTATCTCAATAAGAATTAAAATGAAAAAGTTACGATGTTTTTAATAATAAAAAAATATTGTTCATTAACTTGAGTTTGAATTTAAGAACTTGAGTTGAAGGGGAAACTTAAACGCAGATTTTAACTCAAAACTTAAATTAAAACTCAAGTTCAAAATTAAATTTTATAAACAAATATAAACTTAAACAAAATTATAACTTGAATTCATTTTTTTTTTTTTTTTTTGAGTTTTACTCCAAAAAGAACAAACCCTTTAAAACTCAAAAATCCTAATTTCTCTAGTTTTTTTTAACAAGTAAAACTTGAAGCTCTCTTTTTACTTTCTAGCAAATCTTATCCCTTGCAAACCTAGTATTTAATGATGTAATAAACTTTTCTTTTCTGCCAAGCTGTCTTTTTTTAATACTTTCACCTCCTTTTTTCCATTAAAGCCTTATTTATACGTTGCAATAGTACATCTTATTCTCGCTGTTTGTAGCACACTTTTTTCTTTTTTGGTAATGTTGCCAGAAAATTCGGAGTTTATAGGGGTGTGTGAACAACAATGCAATAGTGGGTTAAAAAAATAGATTTGAAGTGGTAGAATATTGAAGTACTAGGGTGTGTTTAGTTAGGCGGAAATGAATGGTAATAAAATTTTATTTTGTTGTTTAGTTGGATTTATAAAAAAGGAACGATCATTCAAAAGAAATGATCATTCACTCATTTTGAGTGAATCATTATTCTTTTCTCATATGAGAGGAATAGTTATTCTAATTTTTTTTTATTTTTTTCTATAATTACCTTTTAATATTATAATATAATTAAAATATATTATATAGTAGTTATATCTTATAATATAATAAATATAATATTATAATTATATTAATAATTTTAATAATATTGTTATATTATATATCATAATTATATAATATATTATATAATAATAATTTTATTATATTATATTACATTTTATATATTATATTGATAGATAAAATATTAGTGTTATATATAACATAAGGGTAAGTTTGTCAACATAAAAATATTCATGTTCCATTCAAAGAATTCTTAAAATTACAACTAAATAAATGAATCAATTTTTTTTTCCATTCCATTATAATTACAATTCTCATTCTCATTTCTATTACCATTTTCATTACCGTTCGAATTCTCAAAAGATACTTTCTGGTAATAGAGTTTTTTTTTTTTTTTTTTTTTGAGTAATTCAGAATGGAGTTTAAATAGACTGGAAAAAGAAAGCTCGAAAGTTTTATTATTGTATAGTCTGGCAATTTTAGTAACAACTAGGTAACGTAAGGACTAAATAAAATTAAGTAAAATTAAAAGGATACGTTAAGGAGATTTAAGGCAAAATGTTAAGTGACAACTCAGAAAAGTTGGTTTCTTATTAAAAAGAATGCACCGAAGAATTGGGTTTAAATTAGATTAGATATCACATAAAGTCTAGTCGTTCATTCTTATCACTTTTACATGTAAATTAATTTTTTAATTTTCTTAAAAAAATGACATATTTGAATTCTAATAATTAAGATTAATTTCATAAATACATATACCTTATTTCAAATTATCTCTTAATTTTTTTAACCAGTTCAAAATACCATTTAATATATAAAAAACGATTCAAAATATCCCTTCATCTACTTCCGTTTTAATTCATAAAACATCTGAAATTGAACTGAAAAGGATTAATTATCAGAAAATTAATTGAAAAAAATAACAAAACATCTGAAGTTTCTTTTCAAAACCCACTCAAGCTCAGAGCACCAATCCAGCTTCCACCTCCTCCTCTCGACGGCAATAGTCCCTTCTCCGACGACAATCAAAGTGAGGGAGAGGAAGTTTGAAGGCGTTGATGCAATCTTTCATCGGGATTTTTCGGCGTTGTGCGGGGGGCAGGGTTCGCGCGCGGATGAGGGCGCCGCGGTTGGGTTGAACGGCGGCGATGGGCCTAGGTCGCAGAAGGGTGGGGCTGACGGCCGTCCCTGGGTTGCTCGGCCTGAGATCTGGTTTTTTTTGTGTTTTTTTTCTCTTTTACAGATCTCAAAGTACAGATCTGGTTTTTCATTTTTTTTTAAATTGGGCATTTTTCTAAATTTTGAGATGTTGAATGATATTAGATTTGTTGTTTGTTTTTATCTGAAGATTTGATCTATTGTTTTTATTGTTTTGGTGTTCGATTATGGAGTTTGGTCTATACTTTGAGAAAGGTGAAGAAGACGAAGAAGACGTCTCTCTCTCTCTTTCTTTTTCTTTTTCTTTTTCTTTTTTGTTCTTTTGCATTTTTCATTTAAAAATTTGTTGATTTATTTAATTTTTATTTTTTTGAAGTCGTATTTTTATTTTCAATTTATTACTTCTTTTTTTTAATAAAATAATCATTTGCACTGATTTAATTAGAACTTAATACCTTTTATTAATTTAAAATCAATGTCACGTCATTAAATCTGTTAGAATTATAGACATAAATAAATGGAGGAGATATTTTGATTCATTTTCTATGTATTAGGGAATATTTTAAATTGTTTTAAAAAATCAAGGGACAATTTAAAATAAAATACATACTTTAAGAGATACTTATGAAATTAATCCTACTTTAAAAGTGATGGTAGCTCTTCAAGTAAGAATTGCTAATGCCAATAGCAATTTTTTTTATTATTAAATTAATTTTTTAATAGTCTAATTTATAATTTATAAGTGTCCATATTAAATTTACAGTTTTACGGCGGATGATACATAAATGTTCATTTTTTTAAAAAAACTAATTCAACCACTATATAAACAATTCTTACAGGTATAATAAATAGTAATTCCTGGTATAAATGTTTCTTAAAGTGATATTCTCCTAATTCACGCCAAAAAATTTGCAATTGGGAGGGGTGGGTCAGCCAAGAGGACATTAACATATGATGCAAGATTTTCGGCTTTCCCATAAAGACAAAAAAAAAAAAAAAAAAAAAAAAAAAAAAAAAAAAAAAAAAGATTTGTTGTTTTTGCTTTTAGCCTTTTATGATCAGAATGAAGCATTGGTTAGTCGTCTGATAAATACATGAACTTTTTTTTTTGATAAATATAAAATATATACGTCAAGCTTTGTCTAATGGGTACATCATATTTATCAAACTTTGGAATAAGTCTCCACGCGCTTATGACTTTCTGCATGCTTATAGAGTATTCTCAGTTGTTATGTATTCTCTGTTTACCGGCTTCTGAAAAGAATTTCTAATTTTTTTTGTTGGTTTTAATTATAGTAATTGCTTCTTTTTTAAAAAAACAAAAATCTTTTTGAGTTATTTTTAAAAATACTGGTTTATTACTTCAAGTAGTCCCAGAACTTTAAACATAGTGACAATTTAGTCATTGATCTTTTAATTTTAGCATATTTAATCCTTAAATTTTCATTATTTAATAGTTTTAGCCTCTAATAGTAAAATTGATAAATAATTTTTAAAATTTAACCTAGATAACGATATGATTATCGAATAATAATAGAAAATTTTGCATAATTAATTAAAATATGTGCAAAATATTATAGTATTAATAAGTTTTTAATAGTGACAAAAAGAAAATTTTACATATAACAAAACTCTTTCTGTAAAATTTTAAATTATCACTTGATAGATGATTATCTTTGTTAAATTTCAGAAATTATTCATCAACTCTACTGTTAAACTAAAACTGTCAAAAAATGAAAATTTAAAGACGTGTTAAAATTTTAGAGACCAAATTGACACTATCCTCAAAGTTTAATACTGAGCTAATCAACATTCTCTATGGGGCTGCCGCATGGCAGCTCCTCTATTTTTTTATTACTTTTTATCTTTATTTTTTGTGATTTTTTTTACATTTTATTTTTTGTGTGTTTTTTAAAAATATGTTGTTCATCACTTTACTTCTATGAGTAATTTTTGTCACGTGTGTTCCTATTTTATTTTTGGTTAGTTAAAATAATTTTCTTCAAATGTGTTCTTAATTATTATTTTTGGGTCAATTGTTATCTTTACACATATTTATTTTTAAAATAAAATTAAAAATCCTTTAATAGTTGTATAAATAAATTTCTCATTATTTAATAAATAATAAAGTCTTCCAAGTGTTTCTAACACAACAATACATACAGCACACGCTACAAAACTAGGTATCCTAAAAATATCTCTATTAATCCTTTCTCAATTCAAGCCCGCCGTTAAAACAAGGGAAATAGTAGGAAATATGCCAATATGAAAAGCTTAAGAAAGTATATAGGCCAACTTTTAGTTATAGAAATTAATAGGCCATAACTTGTCAAGTTATGGTTCATAACCAGATAAGTTATGGATAAACTTATCAAGTTATGGTTCATAACCAGACAAGTTATGGACAAAAATTGGGAATAACTTGTCAAGTTATGGTTCATAACCCAACAAGTTATGGACGAAAACAGTAATTTAGCCTATTTATTAACTTATGTAAACTATTGGCCTATTAATTTTAATTCATCTCAAGTCTTGGCCTATTTTTCTCTTTCTCCCTTAAAACAAAAAAGAAGTGGGTCCACCATTAAACCAAAGAAGTGGACCAAGCTATGTGTGGCACTTCATTGCCAAAAAATAGCAGTTGAAGAACATCTTCAATATAAATATTAATATTGATTATATATGTAATGTAAAAAATTATGATATGGTATGCTATTTTTATTTTTATTTTAATATATAATGTTATTTGAAATGTTAAATTTATTTTTTTTTTTGTAATTATTAAGTTTTAAAAGTTGTAAAAGTAAAATTTTATTTTTAAATAATTAGAAAATATAAAAGTTACATTAATTACATAAAAAAATAAACATTTCAACTAATAATAATTAAATGCAAAATTTCTCAGATATTATACTTAGTAGGAAATTTATCACAAAAAATAACATATGAGAAATTTAACACAATAAATAGCATTGTATTAGAAAATATTTTTTACATTCAAATATTAAATTTATAATTAACACATTAATTATAACATTACAATAAAAAATGATACTATACTTAGTAGGAAATTTGTCACAAAAAATAACATATGAGAAATTTAACACAATAAATAGCATTGTATTAGAAAATATTTTTTACATTCAAATATTAAATTTATAATTAACACAGTAATTATAACATTACAATAAAAAAATATTAAATTTACAATTAACACATTATTTCTAATATTACATTAGAAATGTTTTAAATAAAAATAAAAACCATTGCGCAAGCATAACATGACGGTAATTCTACATCTTCATGGTGTAAAGTTCTAATCTCAGACTCCCAAGTTAAAAGAGCGAACGAGAGAACTAGAAGCCATAGTAGATGACCTTTTAAAAAAATAAAAATAAAAAAAAACTCAAGGAATAGTAGATGACGCTTTAAGCAATGAATTTTCAGTACTTTGAAAATTTCAGTCCATAAGTTTCTTACAAATTTACATTTTCGAAAAGGAAATCCCTGTGGGCTATGGTGAGTATTTATTCAAGATTGTAGACAGCCCATGACCAACATAGCACTGAATTCTCAACTCCAATCTTGACATGAAAAGAAAAGGGTATGGGATTTACTCATTTCTCAAAAGGGTCATTTCAGCACCATAACTTTGCTGCAAAAATGTATCCTGTCCCAAAGAATTTGTCTGACCAAGCCGGGCCCTTAAATACGGTAAATCGAATATGAATTGCGATGCGGAAGTCTTGCATCAATCAAATGTCGTGGCCCGGCCAGCTTCACATGACTTGGTAACTACAAAAAATGGGCCTTGTTCAGCTCTCGCGTGATTATCTTCTCGAAGATAACAAGAACTCAACTTACTCGTGGAGATCTCCGAGTGACTAAAATTCGATGCGTCCATGATTTTCAGCTCAAGTTTTGCTGAATTTAAATGGGAATGCTCGAAAGCCAGCTCCAATGTTCCTGCTTCGATGTCCAACTTCGTGTTGTCTACCATTGTTGTTGACTTGTTGCCCACGTTTTTGAACCCTGGACGCAAGAAATTGAAATCTCCAGATCAGCACAAGTGACTCTCACTGCTTTGGTTTTGATGAAGTTTGTGATAGAAACAAAAACTTGGACCGCTTGTATCACTTCCGTCTTGAACTTTCAGCTATGTTGTACCCATTTTGTCTCCTATATTCATCTCCTCTTCTTTCTTATCATCATCTAAATCCATTCTGTCCCTGGAATTTTCTACAATACTAGGATGCCTGCGAATCTGGTCAAGGAAATTCTGACATATTGGAGCAGAGAAAACAGAATCGAAACTACTAGGTTCCCCGTCATTACTGCTGGATATCATGGAAAATGAACTTTTTTGCGCTGGGAACCATCCAAGTAATTTCCGTCCGGCAACCATCTGGACTACTGGTCCTAAATCTTTAGCAAACAACATTAAGCTTTCCCTGTAGCTGATATCCTGTTGAATCACCTATCCAACAGAAGAAAATGCAGTTAATTTGAATAGGGTACATCTTGATACATCATTTAGTAAGGCATGATTGAAACACATCAAATCTCCTACGGTAAATTCAGATAGCAAAGTATTTCATTTAGTGCAAGCACAAAAGACTCACAAGCTCTAGTTGGTTTTTTTTGCTAGATTTTTCATCAAGGAATGATATCCAAGGTTCATATGTACAGCGCCTTGCTGCTTCAATAGATCTTGATCTTCCGTCATCACCGGCACCTGTTAGAGAAAGCAAATAAAATTTTAGTTCAGGTATAACCTTTGAATTCAGGCGAGCATTAGCAATTCCTGTGGTTAAAATTGTAAAAGTTCCCAGACCTAATGATGCTTACAAAAGTCTGGAACCCATACCCCAATGTGAGAGATTAGAGAAGTTTATGCGAAAACTTCTTACCTCAGTTTAAAAACTCCAAAACAAAAAGTCCTCAAGGAGAAAAAAGGAAAATAGTCCTACCCACCTAGGCAAACCAAATACTTTTGTAGAAATTGATGTATTTTCCTATTTCTGATAAATACGACTTTCAATTACAAGCCACAGAAAGGATGAAAATCAATTTACATTGAAGGTCACGTGTGTACCTATTAAAATGAGCTTTAGATGTTTTCAAAAACACACATGTGAAACTAAATTTAGGCTAGTCCCTTTTCCAATTATATAAGAACAAAATGCCATATACAATTGAATCTGGGATGGCCAAATAAGAGAAGTACCCTTTATGTTGTATTTCAGTTAAAATTTCATCAAAACTAGTATGCCGTCAATTCGTGTTGAGGTATTATTGTCCTTCTCAAGCATACTGTCAAAGGGGTTTTAACAAGGGATCAGATTTCACTTCTTACCACAAGAAACTTCTTGATCTCTTGCATCTAAATAAGTACTGAAACCAGAGCACCAATTTCTCAACGGGGCGCGTTTCCTTATGATTGAAGAAGCACTTAATGACATTGTGGATTTTGATGATTCATCAATCGCCACACTGCTAGATTTCACATTTCTAGCAATTCTAGGACGTGTTCTACAAACCGAATTCTCAGCTTCGCCTTGGGGCCCCCGACCATTTCTCCGTCTTGATTCCAAGAATTCCAATTCAAATCTCTCAGGATGTGTTTTCAGAAGATGAAAGACCTTAGTAGCTAGCTCATTTATAGCACGGGCCTGTAAGAATTATTCGCTTAAAGATAAATTCTGTGGGTTCTTTTTGTTAGAAGTTCGTACGATTATGGTGATCCAAACCTCGTTGGGCTAGTGAGCTTACCTGTCTAAAATAAATGGTAGCTGAAGAATTAAAATGCATTGCGTTTTTTGTTATCAAAAACACATCATGCTGCATGACAGTATAAGAATATCGGTCAGATATTTCCTGGCAGTTTACTTGTATAGATATGGTTGTGGTTACATTCCCATGAGAGAGATTGTTGTAACTTTGATATAAGTATGAGTAATGCATAACTAATAAGTTGTGAGTTGGAGTCATCTGATTTTCTTTACAAAAAAAAAAAATAAATAAAATTGAGATATAAGCAATACTGAATTCGTTTTGCCTGCAAGACATGATTAATTAGATTACACCAGAATATTCAGCATTCAAATTTGATCTAGTTGAGCTGCTTCTTTCTTCATTTCACTCTGTCCCGAGAACAAAAGTTTTAGAAGTAGCCTTGGATGGGAGAAATTAAACTAATAAACTCTGAGGAAAGATAATTTATGTTTCTAACATCCCTAGTTTAGGGAAAG